TATTAGATACTTGTTAAGCACGATAAATATGTATCATTTACTAGCTGAACAAATTGAATATGAGTTTGTCACTTGATGGGCACATGTACAATGAGCATAATAAAAACATGTCAAATTTAACAAAAAATTATTAGATACATGTTGAAGTGCTCAAAATTTTATTTATTTACAAGAATTATATGTGAACATAAATGAATGCCCCACTTTAAGTAATTATGCGTCATTTTAGGCCTTTGTTTGTACTTTATATGCTCATTAGAAGAAAAAAAAAGTTGTTTAGAATTGTTATGATTCTTAAAGTTTGACTATGGTTTTTCATTTCAAAAAGATCCGTCCACTTTGGAGGCACTATTTCCAGAATACACAGGGCCTTATTTTTGTTGTGGATAGCAATGATAGGGACCGAGTTGTCGAGGCAAGAGATGAGTTGCACAGGATGTTGAATGAGGTATATTAGTACCTGTTTACTGTGATGGTCTATTGCTATTTGTACTTCGTTCTTATTATAGCTTTATTCATCAATTGATTGGCTCTACTTTTTAATTGTTAACTTTATCTCTCAAGGTGGAGTGGATAGAGTTTTTTAGTAACGGCATAGCAGCATAGTAGCTCATAGAGTTTTAAAGCCCTTTTCTTCCATTTATGAGTCTTGTCTGATAGTGGTATTTTACATTCTAATGATTGCAGGATGAGCTTAGAGATGCTGTTTTGCTTGTATTTGCAAACAAGCAAGATCTTCCTAATGCCATGAATGCTGCAGAAATAACTGACAAGCTTGGTCTTCACTCTCTTCGTCAGCGCCACTGGTAAATTATTTGCTTTTGTCTCGTGTGGACATCTCATCGATTAGATCTGGTGGGCAGTATTATTTCTCTTGTCAAAACCTGTAACATTAACTGGAAGATGGTCTAAATTCACGTTTATTGATACATCTTCCTAAGTCAACTTGAGATCCCACGTCGGTTGGAGAGTAGAATGAAACATCCCTTATAAGAGTACAGAAACTTCTCGCTAACAGACGTTTTAAAATCGTGAGGTTGACGGTGATATGTAATGGGTCAAAGCAGACAATAACTGCTAGCGGTAGCCTTGGATTGTTACAAATGGTATCAGAGCCAGGTACTGGGCGGTGTGCCAGCGAGGATGCTAGACCCCGCCAAAGGAGAGTGAATTGTGAGATCCCACATCAGCTGAAGAGAGGACCGAAGCATTCCTTATAAGGGTGTAGAAATCTCTCTCTAATAGACGCGTTTTAAACCCGTGAGGTTGATAGTGATACATAATGAACCAAAGCGAACAATATCTGCTAGCAGTGGCCTTGGGCTGTTACATTTTATTATCCCGAAGTTGGAAAAGTGAAATGGTCAATATCCGTTAATCAAAGTTGCTTGCGCTCTATTAATATATTCATTCTACATTGTGCTTGGTTCCAGGTACATTCAGAGCACATGCGCGACATCTGGAGAGGGGCTCTACGAAGGTCTAGACTGGCTTTCCAACAACATTGCTAGCAAGGTAACTGCTTCTTGTATTAGATCTCAAAAAATAATTGTTTTGCTAGGTTCCGAGTCTCTTTGCATTAGCTATTCGTGCATGGATATTTGATTCTTATCTTCCCCTCTTTTAACTTGTTGAAATCCCTTACTCATCAGGCTTGAAGCGGTCAATGATTTGATGGTCGTTCAAACTCCCACGCCCTTCTTTGTTTAGTTTGTTTGTTTATCTCGGTGGTTGCCCTCAAGAGTCCTCATCGTTCTAGGACAAATAGTTTCGTTTGATTTAAGAGATAGTTTTAGTTGGGAAACATTTGGCTACACTTTAAATTTCACTCCAAGTTGTTAATTGCTGCTTGAAGCGTATACTTCTTGGCTCCTCGAAATGCATTATTGTACTGCTTTCGTATCGTTTAATACCAAGTCCAATCTTTTTTCTGATCGATATGATTATGAAATGTAATCGTGAGTATATCACATGATATAGATCATTGCATATAATCAATATTATATATCATTCTAAAATTACAGGAAGGATTGTATCAATTATTTGCCTATATCAATTATTTGAATTTAATTTTTGAGTGATTTTTAAACCTAGAGTCTAAATTGATTCACTATCCCATTTAGGAGTTTAATTGATAGAATTATAAGTTTCCATGTTCGTGAACCAATGTTTTTCACCTAGAAAGATATAAACCGGTACATTCATGAAATTTTATGGATTTAGTTGATACTTTTTTTTTTTTTATCTTTTTTTTTTATCTATATTTTATAAACAAGAATGGATTGTTTTGGACAAAACATTGATACAAATTCTGAAAATAACATTATGACAATATTTCAAGAGAGTTAAAAAAGTTGACCCGGTCTCGGGGAGGTCTTGGATCAAAACCCCTTCTCTCTCTCACTTCACACCTTGGGGTTCTTATTAAAGAGAGAGGTGCTTTCACATCTTCTTAACCCGAAATGGCAAATGGCTGGGGAGAGGAAAAGTTCCTTTTTTTAGGGTATCCCCGAGAACAGATCCAGTGGAGACGGGGTGGAGCCTGTAGCTTAGAGGATTAGAGCACGTGGCTATAAACCACGGTGTCGGAGATTGAATCCCAGAAACCAAAAGATACTTTTCATATATTCGTTTATTTTCTCGAAGAACGAACATCGAGCACTAAACCCAAATCTAATGTCTATACAAAGTTGTTAATTCAAGAGAGAAGGATAGAGTTTGGTGTATTAAAGCATGAGTATAGTCATCAAAGCATTGGTCCCAACATAGTGTTCTATAAAAAGCACTTCTTAAGTTGAGAATTTTGTCTTTTAATTTAGATTATTATTTTAAACTAAACCCTAAAGTACGTGGATGTGACCTAAACTCATCAATCCTATCTCGATTTTTGTGGTCTTAAATTTCGCTCGAGTTATACGATCGAGGATACATCTACGTTTAGAAGATCGAGCAGAATTTGATGGTGTCGTTTTTTCTTACTTCCAATTTCCTCAACGATAGCGCCCAACTGTTGAGATTAAAATTCTTTATTTTCAACGATTAAAATATTCATCGAGATGTCAATATATTTAAAAATCGAAGGATTAGATATCAGTACTTTTAACTGTTCGAACTTTTTTTAATTTAATAATGTCCCAATATTAATTTTTAGCTTGAACTTTCTTTTATTACTCTCGAAACTTCTTCATTACGTTGTATGTGATGAAGAAACAATTAATAACGTCAAAAAGTCTAGCCACAAATGATATAAGCATGCATATGGTAATAAACTCGAGCCGGTCTAGGGTTTTAGAGAGTCGGATTGCCCTAAACAACATAAACATGCATCTAACAAACTTGGGTGGAACTAGGGTTTTAGAGAGTCGGGTCATTACGAAAAAAATCTAGCCATAACTGATGTAAACGTGCATATGGTAATGAACTTGAGTCAATCTAGTAGTTATAAAAAATTACTATAAATGGTAGATACTAGACACGTTAAAATTAAACAAGATGAGAGGTAATAATTCTTCGATAATGAAATGATTAAAAAAAACTCAATAATAAATATTTATATATGAGAGGTAATTTAGAGTAATGTCGAGCAAAGCTAAAGTGACATTGCGTAGCTGTAATGAAGAACGAGTCTCTTTATTTACAAGTTTCTTTCCCGATATTTAGTCAACTGGAATTCTGTGCATCAACTCGATGATCATTAGCTCGAGAAGCTTATTTTTTTTATGAGTAGTTGGTCATTCTTCTCGATTCGACACTTGTTCTTGTAAAAAGCAAGAATCGAGCTAAAAACCCTAATTTGGAATTACGAACTTTATTCATTTCTCCACTTCAATGAAGAATCTAAAAAAGAGAAAGGAAAATGCTTCGAAGAATTCAATTATTCTTATGATTCATATTTATATTTCACACGAATATATCAATCCATGTGCTCGGAACCCTAATTTTTCCATCGCACTCATATGTTTTTGGGACACACGTGCGAAACCATGCAAAAGAAGGCTAATGTTAAAAAAATATCTTCGATATTATGAAAAAATATCTGGGTAATATTGTAATTATTGTGATATAAGCCTAAGTCGATCAATTAAGTACAACCGACCTTCTTCGGTTGGTCCTATATCAAGGGTACTACACGAGTACAACTGACCTTCTTTGGCTAGCCCTATATTAAGGGTACTAAACGAGTACAACCGGCCTTCTTTGGTTGGTCCTGTATCAAGGGTACTACACGAGTACGACCGACCTTCTTTGGCTAACCCTGTATCAAGGGTACTAAACAAGTACGACTGACCTTCTTTGGCTAACCCTGTATCAAGGGCATTAAACGAGTACGACAGACTTTCTTTGGCTAACCCTGTATCAAGGGCATTAAACGAGTACGACAGACTTTCTTTGGCTAACCTTAACAAGGGTACTAAACGAGTACAATTGGCCTTCTTTGGTTTGGCTTTCTTTGGTTGGTCCTATATCAAGGTTACTACACGAGTACAACTGGCCTTATTTGCTAGCCATATATCAAGGGTACTAAACGAGTACGACTACCCTTCTTTGGTTGGCCCTATATCAAGGGTACTAAACGAGTACAACCAACCTTCTTTGGTTGGTCCTGTATCAAGGGTACTACACGAGTACAACTGACCTTCTTTGGCTGGTCTTGTATCAAGGGTACTAAACGAGTACGACCAACTCTCCTTGGTTCTGTATCAAGGGTACTAAACGAGTACAATTGACCTTCTTTGACTAACCCTGTATCAAGGGTACTAAACGAGTACAACCGACCTTCTTTGGCTAGTCCTATATCAAGGTTACTACACGAGTACAAGTGATCTTCTTTGACTAGCCTTGTATTAGAGGTACTAAACGAGTACGACTAACCTTCTTTAGTTCACCTCGTCCCTTGCAACGAGGGTAACTCGTACGTACCTTTTCCTTCCGTTTGGCCTCTCTATAAAACCCTGGCTACCATCATGATCTTATCAACTCTCTCTCTTTCTCTCTCTAAAATGGATGCAGAAGGTGTGGTGGAGGTTAGAAAAGGGCCATGGACTATGGAAGAAGACTTGATTCTCATCAACTACATAGCCAATCATGGTGAAGGTGTTTGGAACTCTCTTGCTCTCTCCGCTGGTAATAACCTAAATCTCTCTCAAATTTTCTCAAAAACCCTAATTTTGATAGTTTCCGCCTTTTTTTCCCGAACCCGATCATTCCAGGTCTAAAACGTAACGGGAAGAGCTGTCGACTCCGGTGGCTGAACTACCTCCATCCCAACGTTCGACGAGGCAACATCACTTCAGATGAACAACTACTGATCATGGAACTACACGCCAAATGGGGAAATAAGTAAGATTTTATTTACGTAAATACAGATCTAGCTAAGACTATTATCAATACATGTCAATAAAAAATCGAAATCAACTGATATAAATTCTGTATTCTCGATTAAGAGGTCAAACGTTCGAAGTCTCGATTTTACGTATCGTTGAAACTAAGAAATAGAAATATTCTCATCGAGAAAGAAGATTGGTGATATATTTCTTTCTCCAATCGCCCGACCGAGATTTTGGAGTCTCGTTAGAGGTTTAGCCGAGGAAGAATATTATGGGGCTTCTGTGGCCACGACAACACGTTTCTTTCAAAATTCTCCTTTTTATGCACGTTTTTAATGATTTTTTTATTTTATTTTAAAATTTCTATAAGTTACTTGAGAAAATTGAAAGAAAAAATAAAGATTTTGCATGGTATACATATATATATATATATATATATATATATATATATATATATATATTATTATTATTTTTATTATTATTATTATTGTTTTGAGTTATTATTATTATTATTATTACTTTGCACTGAAAAAAGAAATAAATATTACAAGCTTGTTTGGTAATTATTTTATATTCCAAAACAATTATTTTCTTAAAAGAGTTTTGATTTTAAATTAAAATTTACAAAAATTAGTTTTTAGAAATATTTCTTTCGGTTAATTTCTTATTTTTCTTAAATATTTAAAAGTTTACCTTTAAAATTTTAAACAAAAAAAATACGAAGAAATGACGACCCAAAGAGATTTATATTGAATTAATTAGTTATTCGAGCTCTTTATTTAATTTTTTATTTTCAATAAAAATAAGATGTTAATATATAAAATATTTATTTATTTATTTTAAATATTAAACTAATTTGAGAGAAACTCATATATCAATGCTTTAATTATTTAACAGAAATTAAATTATTTAAAATTTAAACATTAAATAATATATTTTAAAATTTCAAAGAAAATTAAAATAAATAAAAAAATTATTTTAGCTGCCATTTGAAGAAATCTACCTGTGATTCAGCATTTTCTTGAAACTTGAGATTGAATATTCTACAAATTCTTTAAAAATATTGGGATTTTTGGAGTCCTTTAAATACATGAAATCCTACGTGGCGGAGCTTGATTTTCAGCCATTGAACATGACCAATCAAATTTAACCAACAAATTTTTTCTTTAAAAAAAAAAAAAAAAAAAAATCTCAAATTTTCGTGGCCCTAAACGAAACACGTCATCTAACCCTATGTAGGGAACGGAACATTTCTTATAACAGTGTGGAAACCTCTTTTTAGTGGACGCGTTTTAAAACCTAGAGGGCAAGCTCGGAAGGGAAAGCCTAAAGAGGACAATATACGATAGCGGTGGGCTTGAGTTGTTAAAACTGGCATTAGAGCCTATCACTGAATGGTGTGAGACACTGGTTGGAATAGGGCTAGACCCTCACCATAGCAGACATGTTCTAAAACCGTGAAAGAAAGCTCAAAGAGGAAAATATATTCTGCTAGCGATGGACTTGGGCCTCGTCACCAGATGGTGCGAGGCACTAGTCGGAGTAGGGCTAGACCCTGACTATAGCAACGTGATTTAAAACTTTGAGGCAAAGCCCAAAGAGGACAATATATTCTACTAGCAGTGAACTTGGGATGTTACATCTAACCAGATACGGTTATAATAAATTTCAAAAAAAGTCGAAGAAATAAACGAACAGATCCCTTTTATCTCATTTCATATGATCATCTTTCCAGGTGGTCAAAAATAGCAAAGCATCTCCCGGGAAGGACTGATAACGAGATAAAGAACTACTGGAGGACGAGAATCCAAAAGCACGTAAAGCAAGGGCATCGCTTCAACGCTCGACAAACGAGCTCAAAAGCAACGTCTCGTGATCGTAATCAAGTGAATGAAGAAGCTCCAAGTTCTTACACAATGGATCCAATAATGGAAACCTTTTCTCCTCCAAATTACACTAAAAATCTTGATGCCTTCTCATTGCCTTTGCTCCCAGTTGACCATTCCAATCAAAATTATTGGAGCATGGAGGATCTATGGTCTATGCAACTTCTCAACGAATAAAAATTAATTAATTAATTAATAAAATAAATTACGGGTATTATTTGAATAAAGCATATAAATATTCTCGAAAATGACGAGTATCATTTTCGTCTTGATGTATATCACTGTTTGTCGTGACTTGTAATATCCGTTATATTGTATTGATTTATTGTATAGCGATCATGTTTTGGTTTGTTTAAATTGATATCAACCGAGACTTTCAGGTATAACTTCAATTATTTTTTAGGTTTAAATTTCACTTCGGTCCTTCAATTTTAACGTTTGTTCCATTTTTGCCCCTAAACTTAAAAAATTTTCATTTTGATCTTAAACTTTTAAAATGTTTATTTTTTGTCCCATAATTTTTCAAAAAATAACCGCAGGACCAAAATATATATCTTTTTAATTATATTTAAGTTTAGGGACTAAATAGATATTTTCAAATTAATGTCGTAGGGACCGAGATAAAATAAATTTGAAAGCTCAGCAATTAAAATGATTATTAAACCTTAGAAACGATTCAAGCATTTCGAGGAGAACCAGCTAGCTTTGGGTTCGAGTGGCATTTCACCCTAACCACAACTCATCCGCTGATTCTTCAACATCAGTCGGTTCAGACCTCCACTTTGTTTCACCCAACCTTCATCCTGGTTATGGATCGATCACCCAAGTTCGGGTCCATAAGTAGTGACAATTGCCACATGAAAACTTGCTTTTGCTACGGCTCCGGTGAGTTCCCTTAACCAATTTCTTAACCATGGTTAGGTTAGGATATATATATATATATATATATATATATATATATATACCAATTTCTTTATTACCAAATAATTTTAAACATTATTATTTTTGTTTTTAATTTTTAATTAAATGAAGCTTATAATTATTTACCAAACTAAAAACACGAGAAATTGACACGTAATACATAATTCTTGTCGAACAAATGAAACCCTTTTTACACATCCTATTCTCTTAGCATTTGCATTCAACCTTAAGAGATCGACGTTAGCCTAACTCTTGTATTCCTCAATTTAAAGCAAAAGTCTTTCACATGTCGTTCGGTATATTCTCGTCCACTCGTTTTAACATGTTATCACATGTCGAGCGTCGAGTCTTACATACATTTCTCTCACTCTCTATCTCTCCTTTGATAACAACACTGATCGTCCACTCATTTTAACATGTTATCACATGTCGAGCGTCGTAGTCGTACTTATCCTTCTCTCGTTCACTATTCCTCCTTTGATAGCAACACCGACATGTCAATATTGTAGTGACTGTAGTTTGGCTAATAATCGTTTGTACGTTATAGAAAGAATGACGGTGGTATTGTAGTGACACTCGTTCTAATTCAACCTAAAAACTTAAGCTCGTGAATATGAAATTGATTAGTTCACGATACCCAACATGTGAAATGTTAAGTTATTTGGATTTGAGCACACGATCGCTTGCTATATGATATCAAGTTTAATCACTACAACTAGATCCTTAAAAGTTCAAGTTGATTCTTAGATATGCTCATTTACCCTATAGGGTCAGGGCTCCGTAGGGACCTTCTTAGAATGGGGTGATGAATCCCCAGCTAAGTGAAAAATGGGGAGGGAGAGGGGACATTGTAATAGCCCAAGCACATCGCTAGCATATATTGTCCATTTTGGCCCATTACGTAGCGTTCGTCAGCCTCATGGTTTTAAAATGTGTCTACTAGGGAGAGGTTTCCACAAACTTATAAGGAATGATTCGTTCATCTCTCCAATCGATGTGAGACCTCACAATCTATCCCCCTTGGGGCCCAGCATCTTCGCTGGCACATTGTCCGATGTCTGGCTCTGATACCATTTGTAACAGCCCAAGCCCACAGTTAGCAGATATTGTCCGCTTTGGCCCATTACCTAGCGTTAGTCAGCCTTATGGTTTTAAAACGCGTCTACTAGGGAGAGGTTTCTACAACCTTATAAGGAATGATTCGTTTTCCTCTCCAATCGATGTAGGACCTCACAATCTATCCCCATTGGGGTCCAGCGTCCTTGTTGGCACACGGTTAGATGTTTGGCTCTGATACCATTTTTAATAACCCAAGCCCACAACTAGTAGATATTGTCCGATTTGGCTCATTACGTATCGCCGTCAGCCTCATAGTTTTGAAATGTGTCTACTAGGGAGAGGTTTCCACCACCTTATAAGGAATGATTTGTTTCCCTCTCCGACCGATATGAGACCTCACAATCTATCCCCCTTAGGGCCCAGCGTCCTCGCTAGCACATCGTTTGATGTCTGGCTCTAGTAATAGCCCAAGCTCACAGCTAATAGATATTGTCCGCTTTGGCCCATTACCTAGCGTTCGTCAACCTCATGGTTTTAAAACGCGTCTACTAGGAAGAGGTTTCCACAACCTTATAAGAAATGATTTGTTCTCCTCTCCAACCGATGTGAGACCTCACAATCTATCCCCCTTGAGGCCCAGCGTTCTTGCTGGCACATCGTCCGACGTCTGGCTCTGATTCCATTTGTAACAGCCCAAGCTCACCGCTAGCAGATATTGTCTGCTTTGGCCCATTACATATCACCGTCGGCCTCACGATTTTGAAAAATGTCTACTGGGAAGAGGTTTCCACAACCTTGTAAGGAATGCTTCGTTCCTCTCTCTAACTGACGTGGGATCTCACAGACAGATTCCTCCCAATCCCCATTTCCGCCCTCGACCCCACTAAAATGTAATCTTCTCGAACATCTAAATGTTAGGTAGAAAGGATAATAATGGTAGGTATCAATTTAATTTAGGGAGTACCGAACTTTGAACTTTAGCATCCAAGTCCTAAATAAGAAGTTTGTTATTTCATGCACTATCCTCTATAAGAAAGCTTTATTATGGGAGCTTTTATTTTTTCAACCACTCATTTTTCTTTATCATCACATGTTTTTTTATGCTAAAAGAATAAAATTTATGAAGATTATTCAAATCCAATTCTCATCCCATGTGAAATTTGAATAACTCTCACATGTTCGGTCGTGAAATCGAAACCCTAATTAGTCAGCCTCTTCTCGAATTCGTTTGTTACTTAAATCCGAACATTTCAAAAGAAACTGATCTATGGTTACCCCAATCTCCAAGCTCGGATGCTAACATGAGAGGCTCGAGAAGTAGATTATTATAGAAAAAATAAGGTGGAAACTCTTTCCAAAATGATTATGACGTACGTGAGAAATATACCGAGTAATATATTGGTAAGAGAGCTTTGAACTCATAGAACTCGTGTTTCGAGGCTATGCTTAACTTTTAACACTCATACCTGATTTGCAAGTCTCGATATTAATACGAACTCTCGTCACGTCGAGTATTGTAGAGAGAAGATTTTCATGGAAGTTTTGAATTTAACGATCCTAACTAACTTTTTTCATTAGAAATTGTATTAAGAGTAAAATGGTGACGGAAAAAAAATAATTGTAGCATTTATTTGATTTCATGCAAGGGGATGTATTTCAAATGGTAAAGCGCTCGCTGAACATGCAAGAGGTATAGGGATCGATACCCTACATCTCCAAAATCTACTATTACATACGTTAAGGTATTAAACCCAATTTATTTTCATGATTTTGAACTAACCTAACTTTGGACGATGACGGGTAGCTATCGAACTCGAATATCGTGAACCTCGCTCAAGCAAAGGACATCTAACATCCTGCTACGCACTAGTTATAACTCCACACGAGGATGAAGCGAGGGCCCCAATGGGTAGAAAAAGGGTTCAGTAAATAAAATGTTCATATTTGTTATAAAAATAAAATAAATTGAAATATTTAATAGGAAAATTAATGTAAAAGCCATATCTAGTAATCTATCCTCTAAAATTTGGGCCCAAATCGGTCCACCCGAAACCAAAATTGGGCTGAAAAGGTCGGCCCAGTTACTATTATTTTGTATTAGAAAATAATATTAAAAAACGAACATAAAGGGCATTTGGTCTAGTGGTATGATTCTCGCTTTGGGTGCGAGAGGTCCCGAGTTCGATTCTTGGAATGCCCCTTTTTCCATTTAATAAAAATTTTAATACCATCAATACCCTTTGCCTTAAAGTTTCTCTAACAAAGTTTCTAGGGTAATTGTGTTATAAACAAAAGGGTATTTTGTCTAGTGGTATGATTCTCTTTTTAGGTGTGAGAGGTCCGGAGTTCGATTTTCGGAATGCCCCTTTATTTTTATACCTTCGAATGCAAACTCTCTCTTCCAAATTGTCTCAAGGATAATTTTGTTAGAGACAGAAGCGCATTTGGTCTAGTTATGATTCTTACTTGGGTGCGAGAGGTCTCGAGTTCGATTCTCGGAATGCCCCCTTATCTATTTCTCTCTTTAATTACTATTTTTATACCAATAATACCCTCTGCCAAACTCTCTCTACCAAAGTGTCTCAAGGGTAATTTTGTCAAAAATAGAAGGGCATTTGGTCTTGTGGTATGATTCTCGCTTTGGGTGTGAGAGGTCCCGAGTTCAACTCTCGGAATGCCCCTTTATCTATTTCTTTTTCTAATTACTACTTTTATACCAAAAATACCCTCTGCTGCAAACTCTCTCTACCAAAGTGTCTCAAGGTAATTTTGTCAAAAATGGAGGCATTTGGTCTAGTGGTATGATTCTCGCTTCGGGTGCAAGAGGTCCCGAATTCGATTCTCGGAATACCCCTTTATCGATTTCTTTTTCTAATTACTACTTTTATACCAAAATTACCCTCTGCCGCAAACTCTCTCTACCAAACTGTTTCAAGGGTAATTTTGTCAAAAATGGAAGGGCATTTCGTCTAGTGGTATGATTTTTGCTTCGGCTGCGAGAGGTTCCGAGTTCGATTCTCGGAATGCCCCTTTATCTATTTCTTTTCCTAATTACTACTTTTATATCAAAAATACCCTCTGCTGCAAACGCTCTCTACCAAAGTGTCTCAAGGGTAATTTGCTACTTTTATATCAAAAATACCCTCTGCTGCAAACGCTCTCTACCAAAGTGTCTCAAGGGTAATTTGGTCAAAAATAGAAGGGAA